AAAAGAAAAAAAAAGAGACAGAGAAAATTGAAAGGAAAGAAAAAGAAAGAAAAGAAGAGAAGAAAATCTAATCTTTCTCCAAGGGTCATTAATGAGTCTGTCAACATCTTGAAAACATTAAGGGCCTTAGAAGGAACCATCTTACTGAATATAAACCATATGTCTCACACCCCAAAACTTCAGGCCTGCCTGAAATCAGGGCATCTACCTGTAGGTACCTACATACTGCCTCAAGATACTTAAGGGTGGGCAGAATAGGGCTTTTCTGGCCCTCTTCTGTGATGGATGAAGTGTTAAGAAAACAGGGTCCTAAGCTCAAAGTTGCCTCATGTGATTTCTGCTACCCAACAATATAGTTGAAACCACATTATTATTCAACCTCCTGACTTCCTCCACCCAGCATTTATTACAAGAAAACCTCCACAAGGCCTAGAAAAACCTCAGAATTCCACATGACAAACTATTCACACACCAGTAAAGCCCTTCAGGGCCACAGTGTCATGTGGGTAATTGGCAAGAACCTCTTTAAAAGGGATTCCATTCAATAATGGGTCTTTAAAAAAAACTTAGCTAAACCTAAAGCTGAGCATCAAGTAATTACACTCTCAATTTTTCCAATTGCACAGTGTTTGGGAAATGTCACAAATTACAACCAAATGCTGCTGAAACATACTTTATTGGTGGTTTTAGGGACCCCAGTAAAGGTGCTGACCATGAGTAGAAAGGGAAACATTTAAATATTTTTTCTCACAGAACTTATAATGGAAACAGAACATAGATAGATAGATAGATAGATAGATAGATAGATAGATAGATAGATAGATAGATAGATAGATAGATAGCACTCCTTGCAATATACATATTTAATTATCTTGGCCTTTGATTTCTTTTTTTTCTTTGTAAAGAGAATCAAAGTATAACCACAATATGTGAAGATTGCTATGGAAAACTTACGCAAGCAGCAAGTTTTTGCAAGAGTTAAGACATCCAACAGGTGATATAAGAAAAGATCAGGCAGGTTAGGCAAGGGTATATGCCCTTCATGCATGCATGAAGTGGTTCAGGACTGACCAAAGGGAAGGGCGAAGGTCACAGACTTTCCCCAAACCTCACTCCTGCTCTTGACCAGAACATGTAGCACTGGTAAGGATTTCTGTATATCTATTCCCAAATTCAGTCACCCAGGGACCTTCTAAACAATAGTTCAGAACCATTCATTCATTTCTTTCTTTACTTGACACCTTTACTGTTCCTTTCCCTACGCTATACATACTGGGAAGACAAATACTTGGTATTTAAAGCTAAGTTTTAGAAGCAATGATATTATTGGCAAGTAAGAAACAAACTGCTCGAATTAATAAAACGTAAGCATCTGCTCTCATCTAAAAGCCCTTGAAACTTCACAAGATGAAAATCCCCAAGTTTTGTCCTCATGAATATACAGAGAACCAAACCCTCCCCATCTACACATGCCTGGCCATAAGCAGTCCAGGTGATGTTTCATATTTATTCTGTTCAAAGGTAAACGATTCATAGGTATATGAAGCTTAAGTAAAAGGCGGATAAGACCAGATTTTCTTTAACTTGAACACTACAGATCTATCAGCCATGGTTTAATTTTAGCCATAAAATATTACTCTGTCATTTTCAGAGGGCAATTTGAGATGTAAGTGGATGGATACAAGGAAGGAATATGAAAGCTAGAGATAGACAAGATGAAAAAGCCTGAGCCATGGGTCGGGTTTTTTTGTTTTGTTTTGGTTTTTTTTTTTTTTTTTTTTTGAGGATGAATAGTTTGCTGTAGAGTAGTAAAGGCTTTTTTTAGAAATCACTCCATTATATTTACTCCATCTTTTAACTCTTTTGTTGTTGGTGGTGGTCGTGGGAATTGAACTCTGGGCCTGTACGCTGTCCCTCAGCTCTTCAGCTCAAGGCTAGTGCTCTACCACTTGAGCCACAGCGCCACTTCCAGTTTTCTGGTAGTTAATTGGAGATAAGAGTCTCACGGACTTTCCTGCCCAGGCTGGCTTTGAACCGCGATCCTCAGATCTCAGCCTCCTGAGTAGCTAGGATTACAGGCACCAACCACCAGCGCCAGGCTCTTTACTAACTCTTAAAGCAAGCAAGGATCCATTTTCATTCCCAGATCTCTCCCTGTATCTACCATAAAGGTAGGGAAAAGGGAGCTGAGCTGAGCAGGGAGCTGAGCTGAGCAGGGAGCTGAGCTGAGCAGGGAGCTGCTCTGAAGAGCCTCTAACTGCAAACCTTCTACACCAGGGAGGTGGGAACATACAGATGGTACAGACAAAATGAGAGCTTGAAGCTAGTCATGTCCTCGTGGTCCTCCCCCTTCAAAGTAAGCACTTGCTCCAGTTTCACTCCCCTGGCTCACCTTCTTAGTATCTATGGTACCCCATTCCTGTCTTCCTGTAAACACTGGATTAAAATAAAAGAAGAGCTGGTTCTATAGAAGAAAATGACATCCCACCCTGCACTTCTATTTACTCTTTTTGTAAAGCACTACCACAGTGGCTTCCTGGGATGGGGTGAGGAATAGTATTGACAAGAAAGTAATAGATCCCTGCTTTCCTTAGAGCTTATAGTCTGGCCAAGGAGACAAATATTAACTAGACAACTACATGGAGAGTTAGTAACCAAGGGAAGGAAAGGGGGCCTTAGCCCTTCCCACGTGGCATGGGAGAAGGTCTGTGAAGGATAAGCACAGCACAGAGAAAACTGGAGGTTTCTGTACAGAAGAAATCATGCATTCTAAATGCCTTGTGGAAAAAGGAGGCCAAAAGAAGGTCCCGAGGCTAGTGCAGAAGGCTCAGGAAACAAGAGCCACACCTACAAAGCCACGTGAGATTTTATTCTAAGAATCAAGCTGATTATTTGACCAGTCTTAAGTAGAAAAGACATCAAATTAGGTAGGTACCCTTTCAAAAAAAAAACTCCCTGGTGCCTTTTTTAGAAATGGGCAAGAGATGTTCAGATTAAAGCATACTCTAGGGTCACAAACATGGAAAGGAACAGAAGGACAGAAAGTAGTATGCTTCCATACTGGTAAGAGATGGACAGCAATGACAAAACAGGGAACAGGCTGCTTGGGGAAGAACAGCCACATGAGCTGATAATGGGAAAGAAGGGAAAGGCATTGATGGACCAGAGGTCCAGCAAAACCAAGGACTTCATGGTGGGAATAAACAAGAGAATGAGCCAGGACAGGAGGCTGGGATACAGGAAGACTTCACAGGAAAGGGATGTTAGAATGTGACTTTGATAGAGAACTGAAAGGAGATCCCAAAGATGAGGCCAAGCTGCTCAAGAGGCCCAGGCCAGCCCTGCCCTATGTCAATTCCTAGAGAAAAAAAAAAAAACAGAGCCCCTTTAGGAAACTCTGTCTTCACTCCAGCCTCCCATCTTCACTACCACATGCAGTCTAAAGGTGTAGCTTGCTCAATAAAGGCAACCCTTACCACAGTCCTTTAGCAGTCACAACATTTTGTATGAACTCTTGAGCTGATCTTCCTAAGGTGATTGTGCATTAAAAGCAGGAAAATACTCCTTACAAACCTGGTCCTCTCTTCCCTGGTAGCTGTGCCCTACTGAGTTACTACTACTGTTTGCCCAACCCACAGGACTAGCGATATACTAGACTACAGGGTCAGTAGCAGGTCCATTTTCTTCCTTCCCAGTTCCTAGGCCCATGCCTGGTATGTAACATATACACAGTAAAATATGCATTGCATATTTCCAAAACACTAGAAAAAAAGATTTTGAATGTTTTCACCACACAAAAAGATAAATATTTGTTAGATATAATAACCTGACTCAAACATTATACTAAACTATACATTTATTGAAACATCACATCACACTCTATAAGTTTGTACAATTGTTTTATGTGAATTAAATACTTTTTTTGTATGCTGGTGTTGAAGCTTGAATTCAGAGCCTCATGCTTTTTCCTGGCTTTTTAGTTCAAGGCTAGCACTCTACCATTTGAGTCACATCTCCATAGACTTTTATCTGTGCTGACTAATGGAAGGTAAGAGTCTCCCAGACTTTTCTGCCAGGACTGGCTTCAAACTGTGATCCATGGATCCTGAATAGACAGAATTACAGGTAAGCACCACCAATGCCAAGCTAACTACATATTTTTTAAGATCAATCCATTTTGCATCAAGTTCAAAACTGAAAAAAAAACTAATTCAAAGTGTTAAGAGTCTACATAAATGGGGTTGGAAACACAGCTCAGTGGTAGAGCATTTGCCTACATGAGGCCCTGGGTTTTAGTACCAGTACTGTACAAAAACAAAAAGTCAGCACAGAGATTTCAGTCTGGTTGGGAAGGGTGAATGAAATTGGTAAGAATGTATTTCTTCATCTGGGTGACATTGATATATGTGGGTCCAGTCAAAATTCATTCATTTAGTAATTATGAGGCATATGCTTTTCTGTTTGAATATACACACATACATATATATATACATACATGCGCACACACATATACATGTATATATTACATTTCAGTGCTCTTTTAATGGATAGATGAAACAATCACCTATGGTAGAATTTAACTGATTAAATTTGAAGTGCTTCCCCATTGTAGGATTTGAGCAGCAAGCTAAGGAAGAGATCAGTAAATATTTCTACAAATGGCAAGATATTACATATCCTATGCCTTGCTGGCCATAAGAGTCTCCATCCTGACATAATAATGAATGAATATATGGCTATGCCAATAAAGGCACTCATGAACATTGAACTTTGAGTGTCATGTAATTTTCACACATCCTGAAATAATAAGATTTTGATTTTTTTCAAACATTTTAAAACTTTAAAACCATTCTTAGCTCTCTAGCCATACAAAAACAGACTGCTGGCCAGATTCAATTTGCAGGAAGTGGTTTGCTGTCCCTTACGCTAAGGGAATGTGCATATAAAATACATTTTCTGGTTTGCCTAAAAAGACTTTTTACCTCACCCTGTTCTCCTACCTTTATAAGTAGGCAGAGACTCCATTTTTTCAGCACATGGATATTTACTGTCCCGAGGTTTGATGGCATCCACCCTGGATACAGTGTAGGAGTTGAAGTCCTGTTTATACGTCGTGAGCATGTCCATATTTCCTTCGCTTGGAACAAAGGGATCGGGCTGATGGAGTTTCACTGGCACTACTTTGTGAAGCCCAAAATCTCTCCTGCAAGGAAAGTAAGTATGTGCCATTGGGATTCTGTTCTTAGAAAAAGGTCATTTGCCATTCAACCTAATTCTATGAGCATTTGCTAAGTTTTCTACTACTCTTCTCCCAACTGCTCTTCTCCTCTATTCCTCATTTTGAAGAAAGCCATCACCATTACCCACATCAGACACCCAGATGCCATCCTTGACCCAGAGCCCTATAACCCCAGAGTCTATTATTTATTAGGCACTGTACCCCTTTCCCCCCACTCCCCACCAGCCCCTGTGTTTTTCTTTCCTTGTTGGCTCAGCCTGACCATTTCTTACTTGGATCACGTGACAGGCTACTACCTGAGCTTCCTGCTTCATTCTGGCCCCTTCTACTTCAATTTCCATAGTATAGTGATTAAAGTCTGTAAATTAAATTCAGGTCATTTTTATACCCAAGGTCAGAAAAAAATCTCTCAGATAAAGCCTCCCTGTGCTGATTTACAAGCTGTTGTGGATCTAGTGCATGCATGCCTTACTTCTAAATCTTCATCTCCCAGCACCACACCCTGCCTTCCCACACTGAGCACCAGCCATAAGGCATGACTGAAACGGGGCCTCTTCTGTGCCCACTCTCCCAGCCTGCCTCCTGGCTAAACCCCTTGCTAGGGAGCTGTTGTCTATTTTTCAAGTACTCCCACCTTTCTGTACTCACAAAAGCTTCTGCTAATGTTTACCTCTTTCATCTACTTGACCTACAGAAAACCTAGAAGAAGCAAGACGCATTGTACTTATAATTGGATTTATAGAATTAGGACTCCTTTGTAAAACTACTTAATAAGGAAAACTATTTAATACTACTAAAAAAGAAAAAAGGAAAACTCAGAAGAGGGATAAAAGGGAAGTCATAGACCCCAAGACTTATCTCTTTGCTATCTAGTATAAGTGATCCCATTATTTCAGGGAGTATGAAAACAGAATAGAAAAGAAAAGAAGTAAATAAATAAAACAAAATGCCTTCTGAATGGAAAGCAGTCTTTTACCAAAGCAGTGCAGGCCCAGGTGCTACCTGCCCATCAACAGGAGCCACCCTGGCCATACCAGCTGAGTTGGGCTGTGCTGGCCATGGAGACAATATCAGCTGCCCACTTCATGCTAACAGTTCCCTGACAAGAGCTTCTACTTTACACAACAGGTTTGGGGGGATGGGGTTTTAGCCTGGAACCCATTTATCCAACTGGGGAAAGTAGATTTTCCCTAAATAGTGCTCGCCAGACAGACTCACCAAGTCAAGGGGAAGGTTTCCGGACAGGAAAACATTAGGCCCAAACACCAATAAAACCTACTTCCCGGTCAAAATCTGGAGCAGCATTACCAAGCCATGCTTGACTAGCAAAGGTAACACACACTCTGCTGTAACCTGTCTTGCATGAATTATACACCAGGTTGTCAATAAACCCTAACCGGGTCCTGAAAATGCTTGATGGAATGAAAGGAGGGAGTTAGGAAGCAGGAGAATTAGTCTCTCCAGAGCCCAAAGGGGAAATGCGAGTTGCTTCAGTTGAACTCCCACAACACCCCTAGGAAAGCTCTTAAAATATATCTTAGTGGCAGGCATAGGGCCTGCAGCCCATCCCAGAGCTGTCTTTGTAGACAATCAGAAAAAGAGAAATGAAATGACCTAAAGTAGTTGGCAGATGACAGACAGTGTATACTGAAGCTTATGGAGGGTTACCCCCACACTTAGACCTTCTTAATGAACAAATACTTCACTGTGGTGACTCTTCAGTATGGAATCAATTGTGGCAGGGAGATAAATGTTATAGAGATAAATGGAAATGTCTGGTGTCTGAAAAATATTTACCTGGAAAATAAATTTTGTCTAAAAGTTTTTGTTCTGAAAGGATAAGGGAAGTTAAGTTCTTCTCACTCCCAGAAAAAGAAAAATGGGTTTTGAGGCAACAGGAAACCACATAGTCATAAGCACTCATAAACCTATGTATGATGACTACTCAGGCTTTTAGGCTTCTTTACTATTTTTTACTAATACTATTGTCATTATTAAGGTGTTGCAAAATGGTTACCATTTCATAAGTCAGGTAATGAGTAAATTTCTTTTTTTAAACAATGTCACCTGTTCCCTTACTTTCCCCAGTTTCTCCTTCCTATCTTGCCCACAAGTTACATGGGCCATTTTCCACATAGTATATACTGAATAGCATGATGGCGTTTGCTCATCTTTCTCCCTTCTTTTCTGCAGCCCCTATTTTTTATGTTGGTCCATGGGGATTGAACTCAGGGTGAGGGCACTGTCCTTGAGCTCTTCTGCTCTACCACTTGAGCAACACTGCCACTTCCAGGTTTTGAGTGGTTAATTAGAGATAAGAGTCTCACAGAAATGTAATTGTTATCTTGCCCACGTGATTGTAATCCCTCTGTATGGTATTTTCACAATTAAAAAAAAGGACTTTTATTAAAAATTTTTTTTAAATTTAAAAAAGAATCTCACAGACTTTCCTGCCCAAGCTGGCTTCAAACATTAATCCTTAGATCTCAGTCTCCTGAGTAGATTATGGTGTGAGCCACTGATGCCTGGTTCTGTGTCCCCATTTACCTCCCCAAAAGAAAGAATACTCAAAGCAAAAACACCATCACCAACAACAACAATAACAAAAAATCCTCACTAATAACAGTAGCAATAACAAAAACAAAACAAAATATTATTTTTCATAAAGAAATTTTAAATGTTCAGAGAAGTTACACCTTTACATTCCTCCCCGAAGGATATCTTCCTTCAGTCTGACTGTATGTGAATGCCTAGAGTCCTGTATAGGACTCATGTCCAGTTATATTTTAGATCCAGCTTCCACATATGATAGAAAACATGCACTATTTGTCTCTCTGCCCGCTTCACTTCTAAGGACTATCAGGGACACCAAAACTCAGCAGGAGGGACACCTTCAGAGGGACACCTGAGCTGCCATACTGAGCCTTCTACCCCTAGAACACCAAAGGAATGCTTCCTGGACTTGGGCCTGCCATGCCCAGACTGTGCACAGGGAGGCCACTGAATCTGCTTCTGCTATGACTTCTACTGAGAAAGCCAGTTTCCTCTCAAAGATGCTGCATGAACCTTCTTTTTTAGCCTCTGGGCCTTGTGACCACTGGAGCAAGATTAATACACTATTGCTTTCTTCACAGGAAAAAAAGCCAAATCACAAACTATCCCAGTCAGTTTCAAAATAAGAAACATTAACATTCTTGCTCACCACATTCAAGGAATGAAATTTTTCCTTAATCTCCTGTAGTACAAATTCCAGTTCTATTCAATTGTGTATTATTGAATTTACTCATTATCTCTAACCATGGAAGATGATTTATAGGGGAGAAGTTATCTACATTTAAAGGGAGGAAATCTCTTAAATTTGAAGTTTGACTCATTTATACACTACACAAAAATAATTACTGTGGCTTTAGAGCGAATTATTTCCCTCATTAGGTTTTTTGTTTTTTTTTTTTTGGTGGGGGGGTCCGGTCGTGGGGCCTGAACTCTGGGCCGAGGCGCTGTCCCTCAGCTCTTCAGCTCAAGGCTAGCGCTCTACCACTTGAGCCACAGCACCACTTCCGGCTTTTTTCTTTTTGCTTATGTGGTGCTGGAGAATCGAACCCAGGGCCTCACGCATGCAAGGCGAGTGCTCTACCACTGAGCCACCTTCCCAGCCCCCCTCATTAGGTCTTTATGTTGAGAACATTCATTGAAACCTGATATTAACCACATCATAATTACATGTCCCAATCAGACAATCTTACAGCCTTAAAGTTTATGAAAAGAAAAGTCTGTATTCTTTCTAGAAACTGCCCATTTACTGGAGACCCCTGATCCCTTCCTCTTTTCCTGTGTCCATTGCCTAAGGCCTGTGTCGACCATGGCTATGAACAAAGAAAAAATTTGTCAAGCATCTAAGTTTCTTTTAGGTAAAGTGCTATAAAAGTTATATAGTACAGAAGGCCAAGAGTTAAACTCAGAGTTAAGTACAGGCTAAAGTGGCCCTGCTGAGAAAGTCATAACAACTTGACCCCAAATCATTTCACAAAGCTAGAGAAGGAGTTAAACAAAATATCTGACAAAAAAAAAGACAGAGGAAATACCATAATAGCTAACTACAGACATGAACCTAGACTAGGAAATGGAGATTTTCACCATGAGAAAAGAGTCATGCTTCCAGTTTAATATATACATATTTAGATCAGATAAGTTGATGTTAGGGGAATGAATCCCAAGATAATTATTTAAATGGTTTTATTTCTTCCATGCAATTGTTTCTAACATATTTATAAGATGATTTCTTTGTTGCTTTGTATGTCCCTCCCCCACGGTATAACCCCTGCTTTCACTGTATTTGATGTTGGTATAATTTGTGGAGGGGAAGGACAAAAACAAATCGTTTAACTAGGGATACAGGTGGACCCATTGCAACAATGAGATGTACAAGTCGTTATGTCAAAAACGAACTTTACAACTTTGGTGGGGGGGGGGAGGATTGGGTGGGGGAGGGGGGAGTATGGGAAGGGATGGGAAGGGGAAACAAAGAGGAGGCAACAATGCTTGATAAGAAATGTACTTGTTATCTTGCCCATGTAATTGTAACTCCTCTGTACGGTATTCTCACGATAAAAAAATACATATTTTTAATATTTTATGATCTCTAAGCAGTTGTATATAGGAGTTGCCATTCACTCAAGCAGTTTATGAATACAGTACATCCTGATCAATGTCACCCCTTTCAACATTCTCACCCACCCCTCCCAACCCACCCCCCTCTTTCCTTACTAATCTTAATTTTAGGTTATATATTGAATTTTTGCAATTGAAGCAGTTTATGTGTACAATGCATCTTGATCTTTGTCATCACCCCGCTTCAACTCACCCCTTCTCTTATATTTCTTATATTTCTCTGGTATAAACAACAAATTCTTGCCTGTGTTCTCCCCCCTCCCCACCTTCATTCTTCTACCCCTCTTCCCTTGACC